CCATTTTATGTGTATATATAAAATATGGGTTCTTCATGTCAAATGTACCGTATTAAATATAAAATGATAATAGAAGAAAAAGTAGATACAAAAGATATAGAAACTATCTTTGTCATTTTCTGCAATTCTAAGAAAAGTCACTTTAACAGTGAAAACATTGCCTCTGGAAAAATGGCTCTTCAGTTAAGAGAACTTGTTCTTGCATAGGACACAGGTTCCATTCCTAGCACCCACAAGATAGCTTACAACCATCATATTTCTAGTTCCAGATGATCCAGTACTCTCTTTTGACCTCTTTGGCACCAGCACACAGACATACATGCGAGCAGAATCTTTTTTTAAGGCCAAGATATCCAGTGGAAAAATTGAACTAAGAAATTACATAAGAATACATTCTAACAACTACCAAGTCAGTGTACAGGCACAGAAAGTAAGAAAACATAAAGAGAAACAAATACATGGTATTATTACAAAGATAATTTTGATCTCACATTTTATGAAAGCCTTTTGGGAATCCTAAGACCATACTTTAAGGTTTCCAAGCAGGTCTGGGGATGTAGTTCAGTAGTCAAGCATTTCCCCAGCATGTTCAAAGCCCTGTGCTCTATCACCACCAATGCAAATAAGAAATCTCCAGGCAAACATGAAAATCAAAGCACACAATTTTAGCTAGGAAATCTGCTGGTATACTGCGTAGAGGAATGGTTATTTTCCTCACTTTCTTAAACTAACATTTCCTCTTACTGGCTTTCCCAAATTTACTCAACAGTCCCACTGTACACCTAGAATACTTGCTTTTTTTAATGTAGGTAGACCTACTTTGAATATCAGCATGAAATGATGTAATTCTGAGGAGATACTAACTTTTAACAGTATTTTACTTGTAAAGATTTCTTTTCTTTTGTGCACTGGGGAACATGTGTGTGGGAGCACACAGCACAGCAGGTAGGTGAAGGTCAGACGGTAACTTGGTAACTTGCCAGGGTCACTTCTTCCCTTCTAGCCTCTGGGTCCTGGAGATCAAATTAAAGCTGTCGGGTATGGTAGCAAGTGCCTTTACCCAGTGAGCCATCTCACCAGCAATATTATCTGGTAAATTTTATTGCCACACTATTCAAGCTTTGAACATTATCCTCTAAAAACAGAAATGTGCAACAAAAAGATGGAATCTTTAGTACCTATTCAATAGTAAACAGTATTTGCCCACTTGGGAACTCAATGACAAATTATTATGTGTTATTAACACAACTTTCACAATTTTAAAAAGTGATACACAAAATATAAAGCTTGTCTTTCAAATGATTCTTCACTTTAAAAAAATATTTCCAACTTGACACACAAATTAGTTATCTGAAAGGAGGGAACATTGAAAAAAAAATGTTTCCATAAGATCTAGCTGTAAGGCATTTTCTTAATTAGTGATTGGTGAGGGAGGGCCCAGGCATTGTGGGTGGTGCCATCCCTGGGCTGGTAGTCCTAGGTTCCTTAATAAAGCAGGCTGAGCAAGCCATGGGAGCAAGCCAGTAAGCAGCATGCTTCATGGCCTCTGTCTGCATCAGCTCCTGCTTTCAGGTTCCTGCCTTGTTTGAGTTCCTGTCCTGACTTCCTTCAGTTATGAACAGTGATATAAAAGTGTAAGCCAAATAAACCCTTTCCTCCCCAACTTGCTTTTTGGTCACAGTGTTTTGTCACAGCACTAGAAACCCTAACGAAGACACTTGGGAAAGTTTTTATATAGCAGAAAGACTAACAGTCTAGAAGACAAATGTATCATAAAATGTGATTGGTTAATTTGCTTGCTTAAAACTCATAGTAATTGTCTCAAACCCTCATTTTCCTAAGCTAGCTGAGTTAACAGATACGGACAATGATTGTCAGTAACTCCCATCACCACAAGAGGAGAGACAACACTATAGTCTCTTGGTGGTAATACATAAAACCATCTATAAAGTGTTCATGGTAAGAAAATTCAAATCTACATCTAAGCAATCCTCTACCAATTCTAATTTAAAGAAACAGGGGATTGGGGAACAAGTTAAAAAGAACAACCATGCTTTTCTTTCTGTTTTAATGGTTTAGTGGGCGAAGTGCTTGCTACAGAGGATTAAGGGCCAGAGTTCTGTTTCCCAGCACCCATGTACGAGCACAGCATGACAGCACACATCCCTAACTCCAGTGCTCAGGTGGTGGAGACAAGCCTTGTTAGCTACCAGTCTAGCCAAAATGGTAAGCTCCGGGTTCAATGAGAGCTCCTGTCTGGGAAAATAAGGTGAAGAGCAATGGAGAAAGATAGCTGCCATCCACTCAGGACTCCACATACTTCAGATCCCTCATCCTCCAAACCATTTTGTAGCCCACTTCCAAACTCATTCCAGCCATTCAAAAAAAACAGTCAAAGATTATCATTATATGCATATCAAGTCCAATAATCCTTGTTTTGGCACCCAAACTATAAAATCTGGTCTTTAGCTGCTGTAGCAATCACCCATACACACACATAAAAATTTTTTAAATGAAGCTTCTCCAACTATGCAAGGTACATAAATAGACTTCATAGACTATTATTGAGCTTTTTAGAGAGTTTTAAAAAAAAAATGGGATGGAGAGATGGCTCACAGGCTAAGAATACTGGCTGTTCTTCCAAAGATCTGGAGTTCAATTCCCAGCAACCCAAGATGGCTCATAACCATCAACAATGGCAGCTTTTATTTAATGAATGTTTATAATGTGTGCAGGACTGTAATAAGCAATATAAAGACTGTTTTAATTAATACTCAAAATCGCAATTATCTTTACATAATTCACAGAGAAACTGCAAGCCGGGAAATCTATTCATTACCCACACTAAGTGGCACAGCCTTTTTTTTTTTTTTCTTAATTTCTTTTTGAGATGGGGTCCTATTAGTTAAACCTGCCTTCAAATTCATAATTTTCCCGCTTTAGCGTCCTGAGCATGGAGATTAAAGGATTACAACACAGCCAGCTCAGATTTCTAGCCAAAAAAAATCTTCAGATCCCAAATTCTTCTCCACCTCTTCTGTGGGTCAACAGTAACTAGCTCAAAGCACCAAGTCCAAAGGTGCAATTTTATAGTTAACCCAAAAGTGAACTATAACACTAGTTTAAAATTCACATTTCAGTAGTTTATATTGAAATTATCAATATTATTCTCTCTACAATAAACTCTAATATACCACAGAAGAAACAATGAACATGAACAAACAGTCTCCCCTACATTTTCAACATCTTTGTTCCAACTTGTCAAGGAATAGATTTTAGAATTTAAAAAAAAAAAAAAAAGAGAGAACACCACGGTTTCATTAATACAGATTCTGGTACAGAACTTAAATAGCCAGCTGTCTACTCTTCAGGGAAGTCAGGGAGTCCAGCAGAATCCATGAAGGAGAGCTGCTTGCTGGCTCCCTTATGCTCATGCTTAGGTAGCTTTCTTTTGTAGCTCAGAACCTCCTGCTTAGGGAATGGCGTCACCCGCAGTGGGCTTGGGCCATTCTATATCCCAAGCCCTATTATTGACAGTTTTTATCATCACATTTCAGTCATAAGAACAGTGAAATAGATTTTCTAAAGATGAGGTTATGGTCAAGTAAATATAATATTCTAGACACAAAGTTTATTCTTAACTTTTTCTGACATCATAGTAAAGATAAAATAACCTACCATTCAGCTGTCCTTTTCTAGCCATGTACTATCATGTACTGAATAAGCCATATTATTTACAATCTCATTTTATTCTCTATTAAGGGATCACTTTTAACTTTTTTTTTAACATTTAAGGAACCAAAACAAATCTGAACCAGAAATTCAAAAATGTTTGAGTCAAGTTAATCCACCTCACCAAAACTGCACATCACTATTAATTTTTACATTGTTCATACATTGGAGCCCGAACAAAGGATATCTACTCAATTAAAACTTAGAAACATCTTGACAAAATAGTAACTTATCGACATAGAAAACTGGCCCCTGCCTTGTTCCAACAGGGAATTTTCTAAGTAAACAAATAAAATCTAGGGATGGTGATTTAGCTTGGTGGTAGAATACGAATCCCATTATCACCACCACCAAAATCCACACTCAAACTCACAAACTAATAAATGATCAAGATCCCCCGGGTTACATTTCACTGAGGACACCTTTACTTTAAATAAGAAAAAAAAAAAAAAAAAACCTGCTAATAAGGTTTCTATAAATCAATATTTAATAGAATCACTCAAATATAAGAGATAAAATAATTAATCTGAAGCAAACCCTTTTTTAAAATAATGACCTACAAAAACTAATCTATACTAGTGGTGAATTTTTTTAATAATTGAATAGTATATACTTAATCTGCCTTCCACATTTACTTTAATTTCAGAATCTAATTCAGGAAGCACCATTTATTAAACCTTCAAATTTCCATACACACTACAGAGCCCTTGCCCTTAATTCTTTATTAGTTTAAATGTTTCCTTCACTCTCTTTTCTCAGAATTGCATATGATTTGTGATTTCGAGGGATTTTATTTCCTCAGCTATTAATAGTCTCTTGATTTTACTAAGATCCAAAAAGCTCTTGAGAAAGAAGACTATTACATCAGTATGTCTGAGATAATATAGCTGTGAAAATAAGGAGATAAAGCAGAAATACCAGAAATTAGACAGGGCTCTGCTCCAACAAGCTTTATTTATTTATTTGTTTGTTTGTTTATTTAAGTTTATTATTTTAAAAATACTACTTTTGCAAGGTATACGGCACTTGCCTTTAATTCCAGCACTTGCAAAGCAGAGGAATCAGATCCCTAGGAATTCAAGTCCAGCCTGGTTTATCAGTGAATTCACAGCCTACCAAGGCTACATAGTGAGACCCTGTCTCCAAAAAACTCCAAAACCAAACAAATAAACTTTGCTTTCCATGAGTTTTTAAGAATAAAGCCCATGCTTATATCAAGCATTCTGCAGCCAGCTGAGAATAGCATGTCCTGTTTTAAAACTACTCACCGAAGTTCGGTCAGGTTCTCCATCTGCTAAACCTGCGTCCATAATGGATGTTAGATTTATGCTTCTTCTTCCACTAATGCTTAGCCATTCTATAAGTCTGGAAACCCTAGAAAAAGAAAATTGTATGTATTAAGTAAGTAGAAAATAAACCATTAATTTCAGTAAAAGGGGGAAATAATTTTATCCTAAGATTAGTGGAAAATTCAACAACAAAACACAGATTTTTACATAGGTCTTTTAAAAAAATTAATCTGGAGAGATGGTTTGGTGGTTAATAGCATTTGCTGTTCTTTCAGAGGACCTAAGTTTAATTTTCAACAACCCCATGGCAGCTAACATCTATAACTCCAGTTACTGGGGATCTAACACCCTCTTCTGCCCTCCATGGGCACTGCATACATGTGGTATAAAGACATACATGTAATCAAAATACCCATACACATATCAAAATATTAGCCATATTTCTTAAGAATAAAGATTCAAAGAAAATTGAAAAATGAAAATTATCCCAAGCAAAAAGAAATGCCTAGAAGCTTAAACTAATGCAACCAGCTAACGTCTGAGAAGCAGAAGCAAAAGGACTGATGAGGCTACATGGAACTATGCCTCAAGGAAAAAAAAAAACAACAAAAACAAGAGTAACTCCCATGCGGAATTTCAACAGTTTTGTTTATGCTAATGTAATAAGGAAAAACTAGTTTATTTCACTAGTCATATAGAGATTAGAACTAAAAGACTTAGACATTCCTTAAAAGAAATACTATATATACATATATAAAACAAAATACTATATACAAATATAAAATGAGTAGACTAATGTACAATCAGAGAATAACAAAGTATTATTAAAAATTAAAGACAACCAGGGGGCCTGCAGAAACCAATACTCCAACCAAGGACCATGAATGTAGTGGACCCACACTTTCTGCTCAGATGTAGCCCATAGGCAGCTCAGTTTCTAAGTGGGTTCACTAGTAAGGGGAACAGGGGCTGTCTCTGACATGAATTCAGTGGCCTGCTCTTTGGTCACCACCCCCTGGGGGCATGCAGCCTTGCCAGGCTACAGAGGAAGACAATGCAGACAGTCCTGATGAGACCTGATAGGCTAGGGTCAGATAGAAGAGGAGGAGGACCTCCCCTATCAGTGGACTAGGGGAGGGGAATACTGGGGAGAAGAGGGAAGGAAGGTGGGTCTGGGAGGTGATGACGAAGGGGGCTACAGTCAGAATACAAAGAGCATAAACTGTAATAAATAATATATAAAATTATTTCAAAAAATTAAAGTCAAAAAAGTTAAGTGGATAGGCTGAAGTTGAAGCTGGTGATCTAGAAAATACAGTTGATAAGATAGGATGTATAAAGAAAAAGGAGTTGAAAAGAACAGGTGGAAACCAAGAAGCACAGAAGTCCAACAGTTGCCTAATAACAAATCTATCATGATCCAGGTCTGGTATGTGGATACCCATCTCAGTACTCAGAAGACTGAAACAAGAGGAGCACTAAGAATTAAGAGGCCCTGGGCCTCATTCACAAGATGCTGTCACACACACACACACACACACACACACACACACACACACAAAAAGGTTAAGAACAATATAAAGAAAGAAGTAATTAATAAAAGAAGAAGAAACATCCTACACCTAAAAAATATGTCTTCATAATGAGAAGAACACTTTGAAAGCCACAGAATTAATGTCTAGGCAAATTGTAATGTGAAATTTCATAACTAAATCCCTGCACATTCCAAATGATACCATGCAGACAGAAGAGTAATTTAAAAAACAATTATTAGGTGACTTTTCTTCATTTAACTTAACAAAGTAGGTGTAATTATCCTTTCCCTTTTCTAAATTACTTTTCAAACATCTAGAGACTAGCATATAATAAAAATTGCTGACACTGACCTTTTTGTTCTTAATCATTGACTCCAAATGAAAGTAATGCCTTCATTTTAAGTGTTTTACCATCAACAAAGTGGGTTAGAAAGATGAAAGCTTTGTTGAAGTGAGTTACAAATCCAGTCTTTCTTAACCCTGGAGCTAAATGTGTGTTGTTTCTTCCCAATACAATTCTCACTTAGAGCAAGAGAGAAGGTGTACCCCTAAAGCACTTGACACATAGCACGAGGACCTGAATTGTATACTCAGAAGCCATGTTTAAAAACTAGAATGGTGGCACATGCATGAAATCCTAGAACTGGGAAGACAGAGACAGGGGAATCCCTGAGGCTCAGTGACTAGCCAAAGAGCCAAGTCAATGAGCTTTAGGTTCAGTGAGAGATCCTGTCTCAAAAACAACATAGAGAGTACTAAAGGAAGCTACCCAAGTCAACCTCTGGCCTACACACACAAATACACACAGGACTTTTACCCTGAACAAGATGGAAGCCTACTGCTGAAAGCAAAGTACAAAAAGAAAAAAGAGAAAAAGATGCTCGCCACAGAGGACATTGCAGCCAGTCCTGATGAGCCCACATAAACTAGGGTCAGATGGAAGGGGAGGAGGACTTCCCCTATCATTGACCTTAGAAGGGGCAGGGAGGAGACTAGGGAGGGAGGGTGGGGTAGGGAGAGAATGATGGAGGGGGCTACAGCTGGGATACAAATAACCTGTAATTAATATTTAAAAAGTAAAAATTATAAAAAAAGAAAAAAAATCAACTTCTGTGGTATTGTTCTAGCTGCTAGCTCTGAACACAATTACAAATGACTATTTACTGTTATAATCCACACAAGAGACAATTGTGGCATGTACTAGAAAGGCAGCAGATGTGATAGATGGTGCCATTTTTTTAATATATCCTGAATATATGGTCAAATTATTATATAAAATACAGAGTAGGTTGGAAAAGATGGCAAAGGTTTTGTCAGATGCAGATAAAAATAAAAAATAAAGCTACCACTAACTTTATTTTTTAGTTGCTTTATATTTTAGGTGTTCAGGACACTGTGGGAAGACTTGGGAAAGGACACAAGTGAATATGAACTTGTCTCCAGGTGGACACTCATGAGATGGCACTGAATGGAGATATCAAGGAAGGAGTTGAGAAACTGGAGAGATGGCTTGGTTGTCGAGAAACTCTCCTCTGACTTTGGGTACCAGATATGCATGTGGTATACATACATATGTTAAGAAAAACATTCATACAAATAAAATAAATCCTCAGATTAAACAAAGAAAGGAAAAGGAGGTAGCTGAAGACATGACTTTGAGGCAGGTCAATCTAGAAACCTAAAGTGACAGTCTGCACATGTAACAGATGAAATTTAAAGATCTTCTTGGGAAATGAGTTGCAAGCTCAGTTCAGGGTCATGTGTAATTTATATTTTAAAGACTCAATATTTATTATTTTTTAATCTCACTTTTAGCATTCAATTTGAAGAATTTTCTATCATTACTCTTTGCAAAAACAAGCTCACTCTATATAAAAAGGACAGATTACACACCTCCCCTACCACAATGAACTGTACTGGAGCCATGAGCCAAAATACACACCTCCTCCCCTCACTTGCATGTCAGCTGTTTTGTTACAGCAGCTGGAAAAGAGGCTTAAAGTATTTGTGCACTCAGGTCATAATCCCTGAGAGGTGAAAAGTTAAAAGACATTTACATAATTCAAAGTCTGAGAAAATACAAGTATATTTTCTTTTAATTAAAACAGAAATAGAAAACATGCTTAATGTTAATAGGTTCCAAAACACAGGCTTGGGGAAAAGAAAGCATCTCCTCTGTTGTCCAACAGTTCTTCAGAGTGCATTGGTTCTACAGCCAAAACAAGAGTCAATAACTTTAAAAGGGCTCTGTTTCAGAACACTGACTCTCACTTTTTAAAGTTGCCAAGTAAAGCTAAGGCTGTGTGTTAATTTCAACATAATTGGTAGTTGAATGCAAAGTTAAAAAAAAAAAAAGACCATGTTCCCTCTTTTGTTATCAGTACGCCAAGAACATTGCCTCAGTCTCTATACTTATTTTAATAAAGTTCCTACAGAAACTAAGTTTTATAAAATTTATTTTGTATTTTGGGCTTAAATTATGATTTTGGTCACAGAGAAAAGGGAGAGAAAAGCATGCACCAAGCAAGGCTAATGCCATTTGTAGCTATCTGATATTACAGGATATCCCAAAGGGTTTTACTCTGTTAAATATATATACATATACATATATATATATATATGTTTTCATATATATTTGTTTTCATGAATATATATATTCATATATATATATATATATATATATATATATATAAAACAACAGCTTTCCTTTTGATCACTAAATACACTAGTCTTAAATAACATCTCTTTATATCTAAAGATAATTTCACTCTGTCAATTTGGCTTTAAAAAATTTAATGTTACAAATCTAAACAACTTGGTTTAGTGTCTGAACTGACTGTCTGGATGTACAGTACATCAATTACAGTTTGAAACAATACAGGTTCATGTATTTGAACACCGGCGCTACTGCTGGCGGACCAGCTGCAGAACCTCTGGAAGCTGGACAAAGCCAGAGTAAGTAAGCAGCCCCGGGCCAAGGGTGGTGGCTAATGCAGGCAAGTGGCTGTGAGTGGAGTTTGGGTCTACACAGTAAGACCCTGTCTCAAAGGACGGATCTGACACAATGTGCATCCATTCATCATAAAACCTATTTGCTAACTAGGAAGAGAGGTAACCCTTTTAATCTAGCAGGCCTGTGAAAACCACCACGTTCAATGGTGGGATACTGAAAGCTTCCCCTTTCATTGTAATGTGGTACAGTATCACCACCATTTCCATTTAACCTCACACAAGGGATCCTAACTAGTGTAATAAGAAAAACAAATTCACATTCTAAGAATTGGAAGGAGAGAAATTATATTTGCAGATAATGTGACTGCACATAAAAATATGCAAATTGATAGAATTAATAATTGTGTACAACGACTGATCATCAACTTGATTGGACTGAGAGATGTCTAGGAGCTTAAGTAAAGCACTATGCTAGCTGTGTCTATGAGAACATTTCCAAAGATGAACACACCCATGATGACTCTGACAAATACCCATGGTATAAGCCAGGCACGGTGGTGCATGCCTTTAATCTCAGCACTGAGGAGGCAGAGGCAGG